TATTACTGTGACACAACTGCGAAAGTACTACATTATCCATACTACTGGAGAAAGAACTACTACTCTGTGCTCTTTCTTTTCACACTGACAGCCAGTCACAACCCTCCTCCACTGTCATCTGTGCAGGAGACGGTTGTCACAGTGATGGCCACGTGGTCCTTTATAGAGATTGAAAATGTGACGTCACTCAGGGGTAAAACCGCAAAGAATTCTGGGAACTCGTGGCAAGAGGTACTAGCGCACGCAGGCTTTCAATTGAAATCAGTTATACAGCGATAAAAAGAAACACAAAAAGTGGCAAGAAGCTGTTGTATTATTAACTGCAATAGCCGGTCGCATGACAGCCACGGGAAGCCGACGGGTAAAGAGATAGTTTTTTTTTATCGGATTACGTCGTTGAAGAGAAATTGTTCGAGCCGTGTTTCCGAAGTAACAAAGAGGCGACTGGATTGCAGCCATTCAAAGACAAAATATAACGTCCCAGAACACTCCAGCTCACAGGTTAGTCTGCTCCAAGCATTTACACGAAGGCAAGTCTTCTGTTGTAGTTAATGCTTCATTTTTCTTAACATAATTGGTGATATAGGTTACAAGCAAGTCTGGCGCTGAACAGAAATTGTCGCGCTATGCTCCTTTATTTATTGTGCATAAATAGTAAATTGTCCTGACACAATATTGCGTTTCGCTTCTGTTATTACCATGGTACACTGACAAAAACATATACTTTTATTCACAGGATAAAACAGTTGTTTTGTATCACTAATTGCCCAGTACGATTACAGCATACAATATTATTGTCACTGCTACATTTCTGTGATGCTTACCAGAAATTATTTCCACTACTAATTAATTACCGTTGAGCTCAAAGTTCCCATTAATAAACGGTTAACGAATGTGTATTTATGAAGACGATTTGTGAGACTGGTAAACTTATGATTGGTACGATGGTCTTTACTTTCTACACGGTGCATTTCAAGGTCCTGTACCCATCCATCGGTAAACTGTACCTGGGCTTGTTGCAGTGACCTGAAGTTACTAAACTTCACGAGTGTATGCACTCACTCCAAGAACCGTATAATTATAAATATGAGCGTGGTGAAGTTGGGCAGCACGCTAACGTATTTTGTCCCTCTGTGTGCTCGTAAGGATTTAACACTTTCACTGGTTTGATTTTTTTCCTCGTATCTTTTCTTTGACTTTTCATCATGTCTGTCTTTGTACGGACCAGCATTGTTCTCCTTCGTTTTGTACATACCTTTTTGGGGGGCAAAGAAAAAGCAAGAATTTATTGGAACAGAAGAATGAACGTTTTGCGGTGCTGCAAATGCTTGCATTTGATGCAGTACTTGGATTGTTTTGCCACAAGTTACCGGCATGCAATGCGCGAAAGTCACGTGGTCTGTCAATCTCTATACTCAGGATTGTTCTGCTCTCCTGCCCCCACCAACCTTCCTTCCCTTCTCACTCTCCTCCCCCCACCTCAGACACCTCCAATTATGTAACACCGCCTCTTCTCCTCCACAGCCTCCTGCTGAACAACCAATCAAGTTCCTCAACTCTGAGTGACATCACAGCTCCGAGGAAGGGCCTTAATTAATGAACCATGTGTGTGAGAGAGAGCGAGAGTGAGCTGCCTGGTTGCTGTGGTGATTGCAGTCACCTTGCAATGACCCATAATGCACCTGTGACTGTGAGAGACGACAAACCGGCCGTGTTTACTGGTCACATTTTCCCATCCTAATGTCACATGACATCACGTCATCTGGTTCCCATCAGCAGATTGTTGTGTGTTCTGTGGTTCAGGCAGACGGGACTCAAACTACCAACTTGACAGCTGAGAGGCTTCAACGTTAAATGGCAGAGGTTGGAAGCTGAATCAGTGTTACCTCAGCGATTTGGCAGCTACCATATTGGTTTTTCCAGCAGGATGTTGTTTGGTCATGTCAGCACCTCTACAGCACCAAAGAGGACACGAAACGTATACTCAGCTTGTTTCCACCCTGGAGCCCTCCTCTAACAAACGAGTATGTTTTTTAGAGCATGTTTAGTGCCATCTTGTGGCAGTATAGATCATGATGTCACTGGGTTTGTTGGCTGTTTTCTGCTAAGAGACTTTCATTGTTTTAACTAGTGACAGATCACTGAGTGGAAAACAAGGAGTCCAAAAAGAGAGTGTGTGTTTTAGGGGTCACTTTTGCCCAGCTGTTGGCTGCAGCAGCAACTTCATGTTAAAAACATCAATATAGGGTCCACCCTCACTCTCTCTATCTATGCTTAGCAGTCAGTCAGGTTCTTCATTGCTGGTTAGCTTCAGCTAATAGCTGTAATATTCAGTTTTATAAAGCTTTCTGAATGAGGGCTGTGGGGAGGAGAGCTGTTTCGGTCCTGTGACCGATGCAGTCTGACACTCCTTATCAGGTCGGTGCACCGAGCAAGCGGCACAGTCAGCTGATGTCCTTAGGATGCGATTGCTGCAAAAAATTGTTCCCCCAACACGTGTTCTGTCCTTCCATCCTGCACTTAATTCCTTCCTTTCCTCTTTGTCTTGAATAAAGCATACATGGTGGTGGGATGGCGGTTGCCGGGTAACGCTCCTGGTGGAGCCATTACTCAGAGGAACGAGGAGACCATGAACACTGCTGTTTAAAAGCTGCCAGCAGCCTTTTGTTCAGACACAAAACTTTATTTAACATGCAACTCCTCACACTGTGCAGCAGCTGAATGGAGGCCGTGATGTCATCACCACCAAAAGAAGGAGTGGGGATCAAACAGTTTTCTGTCTGGGAGGATGTTCACGTGTTATCGATCAGGCTGATAGTTGATCAGCTGCTGGGATGATCGGCCCTTTAAAGCTCACCACAGTAAATCAGTCAGCCATGTTCCCTTTCTTTGTGAGGTGTTCACTGACCCGTTGATGCGCATGAAGTACCCTGTTCTTTTTTAACATCTTCAGCCAATGGCAGGAAGTGGAGGCTGTGGAGGGCTGTGATTGGCTGCCAGGAGGAGTAGGGTGAGCTCGCGTCAAGGCTGCTGTCAGCTGACAACCCTGTAAGTACGGAGATACTAGGATTTCCTCCGAGTGAACGATGGCGAAGCAAAAAGAGACAGCAGGGAGATACGAGGTTTCCTGACCACAAAGAAGCCCCCCCCCCCCCAACACCACCACCATAACCACCACACACACACACACTCACTTACACACTCCTCCTCCTCCTTCATTTGCCCTTGTCGTCTCTTTCTGTTCGGTCATGAATAAATGACAATGGTCTGTGTGTGTCTATATGTGTGTGTGTGTGTCTTGTGGTGTGTGGTGGTTGGGCATACTGCAGCCTCTCGACATGCTGATTGAGGATGGGGGAGGGGCATCAAGCTCTGAAAATGGATGAGGACAGGTGGGGGAGGAGCAGAAGATCTGGTTTGTATTCAGCTCTCACCACCTGATCCTGCTGATGCTGTCAGCATGGAACACCACACACACTCACAAACACACACAATGTTGTGGTTCTGCAGGTTCATGGTCCTGGACTCAGGTATGCTGCCTTCTACAATGCCTTCTCTCTACTTCCTGTGTAAGATCACATGATTTAAGTCTGACAGACCTCAGCACCCCCACAGAGTTTACCAACCGGTGTGAACCCTTTCACCCCATCCCTGTTACCATGGAGACGGGCATCATGGTGTGCAGTGCCTCCTCTCCTGCAGCAAGTTCAAGTCATTATTTATACAGGACAACACTGAGAACCCGACTCTGCCTTCAGCCTCAACCCATACTGCCCAGGAAGAACCTTTGACATAGAACCAGAACTTCAAACAAAGAACCAGAACCTAAATAAAGAACTAGAACACAGAGAGACATAACTTTAAGCAAAGAACCAGAACATTAAAAAAAGAACCATAACAAAGAACCATAACCATAACCTAAATATAGAACCAGAACCTCAAACAAAGAACCTGAATCAAAATAAAGAACCAGAACCAGAACACAGAGAGCAATAACTTCAAACAAAGAACCAGAACCTAAATAAAGAAGCACAACACAGAGAACCAGAACTTTAAACAAAGAACCAGAACATTAAACAAAGAACCAGAACACAGAGAACCAGAACTTTAAACAAAGAACTAAAACTTAAATAAAGAACCAAAACCAGAACACAAAGAACCAGAACTTCAAACAAAGAATCACAAGCAGAACTTTAAACAAAGAATCACAAGCAGAACTTAAACTAAAGAACCAGAACACAGAGAACTGTCATCTTTATGATGAAGAACACCTCTGACCCTGTAGAGACCGCTCACAATTACACTAAGTGATGTTTCCTTAGCCTGACCAAACAGCAACAAAGTCGTACTGTCTAAATTGATGGTGATGAAGATGATGGTGATGAAGATGATGGTGATGAGGATAATGTGATGATGATGTTGTGATGATGATAATGTGATGATGGTGGTGTTGATGATATTGATTTGATGATGATGATGTGATGATGGTTGTGTTGATGATGTCGATTTGATGATGATGATGCGATGATGGTGGTGATGATGATGTTGATGTGATGATTGTGATGAATGATTGTGATGATGATGTGATGAAGATGATGATGCTGTTGTGATGATGATGACGATGATAGAATAGAATAATATAGAATAGCTCTTTATTGTCATTGTACATGTACAATGGTTTAGCGCCATCTTGTGACAGTACAGAACGTGACGTCACTGGGTTTGTTGGCCGTTTTCTGCTAAGAGACTTTAATTGGTTTATGTTAGCTAACTAGTGACAGATGACTGAGTGAAAAACAAGGAGACCAAAAAGAGAATGTGCGTTTGGGGGACGCACATATACACATGAAAGATGGTGAGCTAAACTCACACCTGCTGAGTCCTGACAGGCCTGGCTCAAAGGAACTGTAGCAGGATGGGGACAAAGAGAGAGAGGGGGGGCACGACAACCACGTGACCCTCGGCGGGTCTGTGCCCAATGGAATGAATGGACTGTAAATAGGAGCCAATGAGGATCTGGGGGCGGGTATAAAAGACTGCGAGCCGCTTTAATCCGCAGCAGCAGCACGGACCCGCTCCAGAGCCGCATCCCGCACACCGAACCACAGGTATGAGCATCCGAGCCGACTAATCACAGCACAGCACATTCATACAGCCGTGCATCAGGGCAAGAGGAACGAGTCGGAAGGGGCGCGCGGTCAGAGGGAGATGGAGGGTCAAAGAACAAAGAAACAAACACACGCACGGGGAGGCTGCTGCAGACTGTGTGTGTGTGTGTCTTTGTGTGTGTGAGCGCGCGCTAACGACCTTGCGACCTGCGTGCAGGTGTTGCGCAGTCAGCATCGCCCGCGCGCACAAAGCTTCTTTACCGTGGTGGTATTTACGGTCAGCTGATTCATCTGCAGGACTGCTACTGTGCGCGCGCAGCTTCAACAACAGCCTCCAAATATACAATTCCTCCTGAACCGGTGCAGCCGGAGACCGCAGCTCTGCCTGTGCACATTAAGCAGTCTAACCTTCAAACAGTGCGCGCATGCTCCGCCTCATTTTGACGGCTTTTTGGAGCTGATGACGTCAGTCAGCCCTGCAGAGTTCTAGCCAGTCAGAACCGGTCCGATTCAGTCGATTCTGTGCGCGCAGTGAGGCGCTGAAGGTGACCGCAGCCTTAATGATCTGGAGCGAACCATACCGAGCAAGGATCCTGTCTGCACTCTGCATAAATACAGCCAATGGAAAGTAACAGAGTACTTTTACTGCAATTGTGAGAGTTACAGTAAAGATCAGAAGCTCCTCAATCCAATCAGGTTGTTGATAATTTATAACCTGATTGGAGGGTTTGAGGCGTTTCTAAAAGTTTGCAGGAAAAAAATCTGATGTCGCAAAGATTTTTGCTGAGCCAGCATCTGAGTTTTTCACCATTTGACTTTGCTTCATCAGCGACTGACCAATCAGAGCTCAGGCAGTTTGATGAATCATTTTAATTGATCAGTAAACTGTGTCACATATAAAGGCACCCAACTTAAAGGAATTAAAGGCATTTTTTTTCTTCATCACATTTCCATTTTAATTGTGATGTTTTCATAAGAATCAATATAAATGTGATCACATGACCATAAAACCCACAAAAAGTGGCCTCAGTGGGAAGAGTCTGACCCAGCACCCTCAGACCAGGTTTGTGGAGAAAATGGGCCTTTTTATTAGCCTTTCCTATCAAAAACAATCAAGTGTATTTCATTGAGTCAACGTTTTACTAGCAGCAACATGTACATGAATACATGAATATTCAGACATTCAAATCACATCCAGAAATCTTCCAGAAGTTATCAAATGCATGCCTGAGTGTCTTCATCTTTGTGACCAGCCTCCTTTTACTGACTGAACTTTAGTGTAAAAGTTTTACTGTCAGTACAAATTTAGCAATAACTTGTTTAGGAAAGTGCTGTAAGCGATCGGTTTCTGTGTCTGAGATAGATTAACGTGCAAATACATAAACTGTTTGATGCTGTAATGCTGTCTTATTGAACACTTTGACTGTAACCGATGGCTTTCCGGCAGGCGAGCAGCCCGGACGTCATCATGCCTTTTGGAAACACCCACAACAAGTTGAAGCTGAAGTACACGGCGGAGCAGGAGTACCCTGACCTCAGCCAGCACAACAACCACATGGCCAAGGTGCTCACGTCCGAAATGTACGCCAACCTGAGGGACAAGGAGACGTCCAGCGGATTCACCCTGGACGATGTCATCCAGACTGGCGTTGACAACCCAGGTAACCCCTCCCACAGTCAGCATTAAGAGCTCAAACTCTATTTTTGAACTCAAACAAAGGTAACAAGTCCTAAACCAGATAACTTTATCATCAATGCCAGGTAGACACTCCTTCATCAAACGGTCACACATAAATGGCTCCCTAAAAACTGTGTACCTCTCTTCCAACACAATTCAACCTTCAGAATAACCAGGTACCCCATTCCCAAAGCACCATCCTCCTCCTTAAACAGCCCCTTACCAAGGTGCTGGTAACTCCTCCCAAAATAAGACAAATCTCCTCCAGACCAGCTAATTGTGCCAAGGCGGCTGATCTGGCATATATGTTAACACCTCCCTAAAAACCTGACCAAATAAACAACTAAACAATTCCACCCTTAGACACTTGGACCATGTTCCATTTCTCCAAAACATCCTTCAGACCCTTGATCCACCGCCTTGTCCAAGTAACTCTTCCTCAAAGTAAGACAACTTCAGCCTAGTCCAATAACCTTCAGAATAGGAACCAAGCCTCTATCCGATGCTTGTCCGGCTCTTACATAAGCCAGTTAAGCCTTCACCAGACATGTAACTTTGTGTGTTTGTCACCTTCACATTGAGAGATTCTGTTAATAATAAACTCTTTAATTGGATAGACTCATTAGATCGAGGTAATTTTTGGTCTATAATTCCCACCCAAGGGCAGGACATAGTATTGACCTTCAGTCCAACCACCTGATCCTCCTCTTCTAAATCCTCCTTAGTTCATTTAGCTCCTCTTAGTGCGTTAAAGACCATAACACACTATCCTACAAGGAAATTGTGAAACAGACCAAACAAACCCATTGGCACACTCCGTCATGTTTAGGTTTTCTCTCTGAAGTCAAAAAAAGTCATTTTAAGGCCCATAGATGTTGGCTGTGACAAGGGGAAGTGACTGTCCATCCTTTCCCCTTACAGGTCATCCGTTTATCATGACTGTGGGCTGTGTGGCTGGAGACGAGGAGACGTATGAAGTGTTTAAAGACCTGATGGATCCAGTGATTGAAGACCGCCATGGAGGATACAAACCAACAGACAAACACAAGACGGACCTGAACCCTGACAACCTCCAGGTAAACGATAAACTCACCTGAAGCCAGTTCAAACACATCTCATTATTTATGGAATTCATGACCAGAGCCTCAAGCGGAAAAAACATTCAGGACAAATCGATTTAAATACAATCATTACGGTACATACACTTAATGTCAAGGACAGGTGAACACACCTGTTACAGAAGACATGCTCATTCAGATGTAATGCTCTAATCTCAGAGCTGTCCTGGAGCTATTTCAAACAGACAAACCAAACACGAAAGGATTCACACCAAAAACCAATCACAGCATTGTCAAAACTTTGTGTTCACATGAAATTGTCGGAGTTCGCAGCAGATTCATAATCACTAACATGGACAGGTGTAGGGCTGCATAATTCTGAGGAATTTAAAATCCAATTCAGACTGAAAGTCACAGCCTCAGCATCACTGCCCATCAGCAGGACAGAGCTCTGGAGACAGTTTTATTCTTTCAGCTGCAGCTTTATTGGCATTAAACTGTCAGGCAGTAATAACCTAAATTCAAACCTGTGAGTTGCTGAAAGTTTTAACATCAGGTCTGGAATCAGTCTGTTTCAGCATGCAGATGAGGCAGATGCTCCCTGAGCTCATCACAGGTAAAACTACCAACCTGGACCATCAGCACACAGGAGTCTGAGATCTTTGAGCATTGGTGATGCTATTTTCCACAGAACTGATTATTCACTAGGGTACTGAATTCTTGCATGTGATGTGTTTAGCCCAGACATGAAGTCCTACCCAACAACAGGTGACTCTTAAACTCTTTATTGGCTGCAAGGCTCAATGATTTGGTTTTGGTGTGTCAGCTGAGGGTGGTGGTGACCTCTGAAGGGTGGGCAGTGATGGACTCTGACCCTCCTGTTCTTGTGTCTCCTTTGTGTTTCAGGGTGGAGATGATCTGGATCCAAACTATGTGCTCAGCTCTCGGGTTCGCACAGGACGCAGCATTCATGGCTTCTGTCTGCCGCCACACTGCAGCCGTGGAGAGCGACGCACTATTGAGAACCTCTCCATTGAAAGTACGAGGTCACTTCCTGTATCTTCTGCCGCATGTAGCATCATCACTCTGCCCCCTGCCTGCAGACTGCTGTATTATACCTCACTGTCAGCACTTCTACTGTAGATCACTGTCATTCTTCGCTCATTGAAGCTAAAGTATGTCCTTTAGTCAAAGTTATGTTCCTAGCAGAGCTTGACCTTCTGACCTGAAAATTCAGGTTTGTCCCTCCTTCTTAAACCAAAATGTCACTAAAACCTTCATGTAAAGAAAAATGCTGAAGCATACTGTAGTGTGTTTTTGTTTTTTTTGTTTTTTTTTGTTTTGTTTTTTTAGAGATCTGATCTGCTCCAAATAACAAAGAGTTTTAATTAACACTAATCTAAAAACTGTTTCATGATAGGGAACTACATGTGTAAACCTGAACTTAACAAAACAAACAAAATATATTCATATAGATTTTTTTTTTTTGTTTTAACAAACTTGAGCTCAAGATCGAGGTTTTTAAAAAACAAAACACTGCTTCATATTCATCGGGAGATATTGCAGCGTTTAGCGCCATTATGTAACTGACCTGAGGAAAAAGCTGGAGAACGAACGGAAACAGACCTTTAACTCATTTAAAATGCAGCATTTACAGACTCGAGCATCTGACTGAAACTCAACACTTCCTGTTTTGTTTGTTCAGCTTTGGGAAGGACGTAAAGAAAAGGTCAGACTCAGAGAGGGAGCGTCTGTCTGAGCATTTCAGAGCAGCGTCCATCACACTAGAATAGAATAGAATTAAACTTTATTGTCATGTGCAATGACAATAAAGTTGAATTCTTCATCACATGAAGAATTCAACTTTAATCAACTTTAAGAATTCATCACATTCGCAGTTTCACTGTACCGGCCGCGTGTACTTAGACCTGCATGGCTTAATCAGGTACAAGGCAACGAAATGCAGTTTGCATCCATCCAGAAGTGCTTTAGTGATATAGATATATTACAATATATATTAACAATAATATAGATATGTAAGTATATTACAGAAATGGGTCTATTATGATATGTTATAATGTACACGGTATGAAGTATGTTGTGAATATTCTATAACTATAGATGTACAGGCTGTAGTGAGTACAAGCTATGAACACTGATGCTGATGTCAGTTTTAGAGTAAAATGAGAACAAACGGATTCTAAATCAGGTTTTAATTGTTTGTTAAATTCACTTTGAGTTTAAACTGTGGTGGTGCGTTTAGGGACCGTCTGATGCAGCAGTTTCTTGTGGTCCTGCTGAGGTAGGTGAGGTACAAACTCTCATCAGTCGGGCTTCATTCAGCTGGGTCTGCAGCTGAAGAGGATAAGTCTTTATTTAGATACTTCCCATGATGCCTCATCGAGTGTGTCAGTGAACGCAGCAGCAGATCAAACTCTTACATAACCCTGAGCTGAGAGCTGTCCTGCTGAGACTGCTAATGAGACCGACAGCTCGCCATTTAAAGCCTGTCTTTCATATTCAAATGTGACTGTACCGGTTAAAGCCGGCAGACCTGAGATTCTGCTGCCCCCTGCTGTCTGAGCCAGTTCCACACCTGCTTTTAAAGACCTCAGGAACCAGGAGACGTTTAACTGAGCCATTCTAAGACCCACAGAAATGCGGGTCTCAGAATGATCATGTGATCTCTGTATGATTTCCTCAGCTGTCAGGCCGACTCCTGACCACCTAAACAGTTCAGGCTGCTCAGGTATCTCTGCATCAAAGTGTGAGGAACTGGTACTCTGTTTTCCTGTAGAAAGTCAAGACACTCATCAGAGTAAAGGTGACTTTTTTTTATAGGTAACGTTCAGGTATGATGGGTAAAAATAAAATATAATTAATGAGAGATGCTGGCAGGAAACTTCATATGATTTGATATCTAAAAGGGGGTGAAATCTAAAGGGGGGTGAAACTTCCTGGTCACCTTTAGTGAAACAATTAAACCTTTAATTTGCTTTTATTTTGAAAGTCAATACCTGTCCCATTAAAAGTGATTCTGTGAAACAGCTCCATCTAGTTCAATTGACACCCCTTCCTGTTTGCTCACCTGTCATCCTGAAGTAGGGTTTATGTGTACCTCTGACCTTTGACCTACTGTGTGGTGGCTGCAGCTCTGGCCTCCTTGGAAGGAGACCTGAAGGGGAAGTACTATGCTCTGAAGAACATGACCGAGGAGGAGCAGCAGCAACTCATTGATGACCACTTCCTGTTTGATAAGCCTGTGTCCCCGCTGCTGCTGGCGTCCGGCATGGCCCGCGATTGGCCCGACGGCCGTGGCATCTGGTCAGTATGTCACCCTACAAGTGGAGGTGCAGGGGTGGGGGGGTATAATGAAGTATTGGTTTGGAAAAATATGACTCCAAAGCCAGAAATTGATTTAAATTAACCTGATTCTAACAGAATGAAGAAATGCTGAGAGAGAATAAACTTTGAGCTAGAGTGTCTCAAATATGTCCTTTTTCTGAACAAACACCAGTTTAAAAATAACTGTAATGAGAGACAGAATAAAAAAAATAACCGAGTCGAGGTCAAAGTTCAGAACAAAAAATACTGACTCAGAATGGAAGATTCATGCATTCATAAAAACAGATGTAGGTGTAATAAAAAAAGGTGAGTCTGATTGAATAGAGGTAAAAGTTGGAAAGATTAATAAAAAAAAAAAGTGACCAGAAATAAGGAATAAACATCAGTTTGCTCATGGAATAAAGAATCGCAGCAGTCCTTGGTCGTAGTGTCAAGCTCACTGAACATCCACCCAACCACCACATCCACCCCTGTAGACGGCTTCATGTTCAGCAGGACTCAAAAATCAAAACAAGATTTTTACTGTTGTTTGTATTGTTTGTTGTGTTTTTTTTCCACAGTGCACCTTTAAATTTAGACAGAAAAATTGGGTATTGAACATCATCTGACCTGCTCTGGAAACTTCAGGTTTCTGCAGCTTATTTTCAAATCAACCAGTGCTGAACAAGTGCCTCTTAAAAACATGATAATTTAATATATCTAATAAATACATAAGTCTTTATTTTTTTTTATTGAAAAAGTGATAAACAAGTCTCAATTTAAGCTGTATTAAAGCCAGGTCATAGCATTTGTATTAAACACTGTTTTAAAAGCAGATTTGAAGCAGCAGGAACCCATTGAAAGCTTTCAAATCTTCAACCTAGAGCAACTGGTTATATGATCCGACTGATCTTAAAGGAACGTGAAACTATCAAAGAGACTGCTGGGAGTTTAAACGATTGGTCTAAAGTGAAAAGGTGGGTGTCATCTGCATAGTGAATTAAAAGGGATGAGATGGGGAGCCATGCTTTCTGAAGCAAGTAGAATGAAAAAGAGCAGGACCCAGAATGGATTCAAGAGGGACTGGGTCATAAACAACCAGAGAAGCATCCTTCCAAAAGTTATTTTAGCATTTGGTATTTTAGAGCAGCTGAATGTGAAAATGTCAAACCTGTTCCCAAACAGTGGTGTTCTGTGTTAGAGTAGCACCTCCTATTCCTGTTCCAACACACAGTGGTGTTTTTGTGTAGATTTTCTGTCTTACCCTATCTAAAAATTACAATTCAATTCAATAAAACTTTATTGATCCTTAAGGTTGGCCCTGAAGGAAATTGGGTTAAGGCTGCCAACCTTTGCCACCACCATCTTACCCTTCTGATACATTACAGAAACATCACATGGGGAAGACAGGTCAGAGAGGTATAGCAATGGAAAATGCACAACATAAGGAAAGACGAGGAGAAAAAAAGAACTCCCTAGACTGAGCTCCAGCAGGGAGATCAGTTTGAGAACAGAAAAAAACACCTCAGCACATAGCACATGAATCATCACATCTCACAACATAGAAGACATAAGCTTCGATGGCGTTTGGAGGGGGTGGGGGGGTGAGCGTAGGTCTGTGTCAGTGTACATGTGACCATCGAGTATCTGGCAGCAAACGTCTCTGCAGGACAATCAGGCTCTCCCAAGCCCAGGAGTTGTCAGTTTCATTAAGGGACTGGTTGATCAAATCAGCATGGCATCTTCACCTGTCCTCCCTGCAATTTCCTGCTCATTGTGTCAGATGTTTAGTTACTCCTCAGCCCCCTTTAGCAGTAATGATACTTGTAATAAATGTAGCCTATTTGCAGCTCTGGAGGCCAGGATCACTGAATTGGAGACTCTGTTTCGCACCCTTGAAAAACCCATAGCTAGTCAGGCCACTGTAACCGGTGCAGCCGAAATGATCATAGGCTCCGCTAGCTGTCCCCTAGCAGACTGCCTCAAGCAGCCAGGGAAACAGGATGGCTTGGTGATGGTGAAGAGGAAGCATAGTCTTAAGAAGAAGCCCCAGGTACACCACCAACCTGTTCATGTGTCTAACCGCTTCCTCCTCACTCGGCAACACACCAGTCACGGATGAAACCCTGGAAACTGGCGATTCTGTTCTGAGACGTGTGAAGCTAGAGACACCGGCAACCAAAGTCAGTTGTCTTCTAGGGGCCAGAGCAGGCGACATTGAGGGAAATTTAAAACTGCTGGCTAAGGGTAAATGTAAATTCAGTAAAATTGTGATTCACGTCGGCAGTAATGACACAGTTACGTCAATCGAAAGTCACTAAAATAAATATTGAATCGGTGTGTAACTTTGCCAAAACAATGTCAGACTATGTAGATTTATCTGGTCCCCTCCCCAGTCGGGCCAGGAGTGACGTGTTTAGATGTATGTCCTCTTTAAATTGCTGGCTGTCTGAATAGTGTCCAAAAAGTGATGTGGGCTGTATAGATAATTTGGAAACCTTCTGGAGGAAACCTGATCTTGTTAGGAGAGATGGCATCCATCCTTAAACATAAAAAATCACAAAGAAAGAACAATACAGTATCCTCAACAGCACCAACGAGTAAAACAGTGAAATGTGGATTGTTAAACATTAGGTCTCTCTCTTCAAAGTCTCTGTTATTACATTAATGATTGATCAACAAATGGATTTACTCTGCCTTACTGAAACCTGTTTGCAGCAGGATGATTATGTTAGTTTAAGCGAATCAACACCACTGAGTCATTCTAACTGTCAGAAACCTCGAAGCACAGGCCGGGGGGGCCTTCAGCAGTTTTCCAAACCAGCCTATTAATCAACCAATAACCGAGACAGACTTTTAATTCATTTGAAAGCCTGATGCTTAGCCTTGTCCACCCCTGCTGGAAAACTCAAAAAACAGTTTTATTTGTGATCATCTATTGTACACCTGGGCCTTACACAGAGTTTCTGTCTGATTTCTCAGACTTTTTATCTGATTTAGTGCTCAGCTCAGATAAAATAATTATTGTGGGTGATTTTAACATCCATGCCTCAACACAGCAATTAATCTGTTATTAGATTCAATTGGCTTCTCTGAAAATTTCAAAGAATCCAACCACCACTTTAGTCACACCCTAGATCTTGTTTTAACATAAGGCATATAAACTGAACATTTAGCAGTGTTTCCTGAAAATCCTCTCTCCTCTTATCATTTCCTGATAACATTTAAATTTACAATAATTGATTACACAGCAGTGGAGAGTAGACTTCATCACAGTAGATGTCTTTCTGAAAGTGCTGTAACTAAGTTTGAGAATATAATCCACCCACTGTTATCATCTTCAATGACCTGTACCAACACAGAGCAGAGCAGCTACCTGAACGCTGCTCAAATAGAGGTTGATGATCTTGTTAATAATTTTACCTTCTCACAACGTATGACAATAGATACTGTTGCTCCTGTGAAAAATATGGCCTCAAATTAGAAATACTTGACTCCCTGGTGTAATTCTCAAACACATAGCCTAAAGCAGATGACTCGTAAGATGGAGAGGAAATGGCATGTCACAAATTTACAAGATCATCATTTAGCCTGGAGAAATAGTTTATTGCTTTATAAGAAAGCCCTCCACAAAGCCAGAACATCTTACTATTCATCACTGATTGAAGAAAATAAGAACAACCCCAGGTTTCTCTTCAGCACTGTAGCCAGGCTGACAAAAAGTCAGAGCACTGTTAAGCCAACCATTCCTTTAACGTTAACTAGTAATGACTTCATGAACTTCTTCACAAATAAAATTTTAGCCATTAGAGAAAAAATTACTCATAATCATCTCACAGATGTAACATTATCTACAGCTACCGTACAGTACCATTGGTAACCAAGATGGCGCCGCGTATGGATGCCCTGGTGCTTCAGTGCATTACTTTTGTTTTGCTTTTGTGCATTTCTTCTGTGTTTGGGCACTCCTCTGGATACTCTTACACCAGAGAAGAGCTCCTTAACTACAGGACTACAACGCCTGTGGATTTATT